TTCTATAATGATGGTCCAGTCACTGCTGGATTAAAATATTACTCTGATTCTCCTACAGACACAAATAAAGGACTTAAATCAGAAATGTTACTTAATCATAATTTCGCAGTTTGCAAACAAGACAAAAAAAAACAAGTACTCAGAAAAACAAGCTTTAAAGAATTGAGTCTTAAATCCAAATGGCAATAAAATAGTTCAAGAAGCAAACTTGATCTAAATTAGGAATGTTGTTCTTCATTCATACTGATATTGCAGCTTTAAAAATTACCCAAGATCTAAATACAAAAACCACATGAATCATAGATACTTTTATTACTTATTTTCTAGTTTGGAATATTTTAAAAATTTGTATTTAGGAAATGTACTTAAGCAGAGAACAACAAATAACAACTATAGGTATGAGAACATCAGATTAGACCCATTTCCATGTATCTTTGCAAAATTTAAATACACCTATTCAACTTAGCCAAAAAATGAAAACTATTCTTACTTGATGTGGTTTTAGTGCGTAAATCCTCTAAAGAAGAGATGGAAACACATTTTGAACCAGTGTGACATAGTGATGACTGAACAGCTGTTTCTACTGGCCTCCTGAATGTCATTACTAATACCAGCTGACATGATAAAGTAAGTCTAACTTAGATTTTCAGCCAGGATCATCAATAAATGGACTATAAATGACCTGGTTCCTATCTATTGCAGAGTCTCTCACAGAAACTCTATTTTCTAACTTCTGTAGAAACTGTAGACCTGAATGCTAAGTAACTATATTACATGAGTCTGTTTGGTACGGTATTAATGTTTCCTCAAAGATTAGCCGATTTTATTTATGCATTTTAAAGGAAACACTTTAAAATCATATTACAAATCTAAAGTGGCTGGTTCTGAATGATTTATAGTAAACAGGAAAGCAGTCTGGGGAGAAGATTAAACTGACTGCAAACTGAAATAGAGAAATATTTAGTGCTCACGAAACTAAGCAGCTTCTTATTAGGACCCCATTGTTTTTAATTTGCTCCTGACTCCTGTAGCAGAAATGCATCTTAATACTCCTAACTGCCCCAGGGAAGTATTAATCATAAATGCAAGGATAAATGCAGTGTTAACCATTTTTAGATGTATTGTCTTGGTACCTTCTGATGTAATAACCATTTCCTTTTTCTTGCTCTACAACAATACTGAAGCAAAATCCAAAATAGAGCTTATATTCTCTAGAAACTGAAAGGAAACCACTGCATAATCACAGAGTAAACTGCAGCAACAAACTGACTAAATCAGTTTCTGAAAAATGGGCGTCTCCAGTCAAACTGCTCTTCCTAACTCCCATAACAAAGGAGATGAAACTTGCCATGTACTTTCAAACCTTAATTGGCCATCAAGACATTACAGAGAGCCTATCATTAGCATATAGAGAAAATAGACAGACTGATTGCGGCTCTGTGACTGGCATAATTACAAGGATGACCTATTCGCAGAAAGGGAAACATGGCGGAAGGGTCAAATTAGAGACGGATAGGCAGACAGATGCGTAGAAGGAGCAGGGTTAGAGGGAAGAAACAAGAGGACATGAAGTCATTTCTGAGCACAGTGACATACTTTTAGAGATTTTTTAACTCATCTCAGATGGCTAAATACGGAGTGACAAAAGAGCACCCGCAGTCTCTTATCCAGGCTTTTGTTTGCATCTCTTTATCCCTCTTCCAAAAAAACCAAAGTACACATATAGTACTCATCCCTTTCAAACACACATAAAACACTCTGAGAGGAAGAATGGTACTCCTGGTCTTGTGTGAAGAGCATAAAAAAACATTTTTTTTCTTTTACGTTTGAAGGCTATAGATATAGGAGAGCATAAAAGAGCAGCGCTGCATGCTGGAGGGGGCGGCGGAGGTGACAGCTAAAAGCCTGATCAAACAAGGCCGATGTGAGCGCCTCGCTCAAGTGGTCTGCATTTACAGCCACTCGTACCACACACAGAGGGAAAATAGGTAAATGTGGAGTCATATCCTGCTGAATCAAACAGAGTGTTAACGCTAGCTCCTTCATATCAGCAGCTGAAGCTGAACAACCCTCAGCATATGAAAAAGTGGACCGAGTTCTGCCCTCTGACCGGCTTTTCTATGCATCATTGAATGAAAAACTACAATATCAGTTAATATTACGATGAAATAAACCTTTTCCCCGAAATATAAGAGAATGTTCAGTGATATGGGATATACAATTAATATGTTAACTCCTTTATGATGCTTAGCTTTAAAAAAGCGCAAAGTTTGTCATATTTTGACAGCAGATGTTCAACCATATGTCTATTTTCTGGTGAAATATCGAAAGATATGTTTTAATAGGAGGAGATTTTTGAAAACACTGATTATAAAACTAATCAACATTCAAACCCAGATTTTTGGTGTCAATATGTTGAATTTTTAACCCAACATAAACATCCTTTTCCATATGTTTAGCAGTGCATGAAGAAGGTCTGTGTGATGGGTTTTTTTCTTGCTGCACCTCTTTTCCACTGCCGCTAACTTCATCATTTTGGCTTTAGACTTTTTTCAATATGTGTAGTTGTGCGTTCTCATGAAACGTCTTCAGCCTAAGCCCTAGCACTGTTCCAATTCACAATAACGAGACCGAGAACAGACAAAATCCTGGGATGTTGTTTTTGCCCCTCCTTCTTTCCCCAGCATGCATCAGAGCAGACTTGTCCATTCTGGAGATTGACAGCTGTCCCACCATGCACCGCAGCAGCAGCTTCCAGCGGAGCGTTTACAGATTGTTAAGTAAAAAAAGAAAAAAAAAATGTCTGTTGTCGTTATTCTATAAAACTGTTTTAAGATCATTTGAGGCGAGAACGTATATACGTTTAAGCCTCACTATATGACCTATTTACTACTGATTTAGTGCGTAATTGAAAAAAAGCTCTGATGTTGTGAGGACCGTGGCAACCAGCGGACCTCCGAGGCTAACCGCAGCCAGGGCTAACGTTAGCCTGTCTGCAGCAGCCCTCTCTTCTGTGTGAAGTACTGCTGGCTCTGATGGCGATTTCTTTTACTTTATTTGTCAAAACGTTCATTTGGTTCGTGTTTATCTGACTGTGTTAATCATTATTCCTTCACTAAATAAAAAAAGAAAGAATTAATTATTATCTGGAGACTATTAGTAACAGGAGGTGAAACGCAGCTCCAGACCAGCTTCGAATGTGGTGATGTCAGGAGTATGTGTCTCTGATTTATTCTGCGTGCTGCTGTTCTCCCCAAGTCCATACTTTCCTGTGTTCTTTCCTGTGTTCTTGTCAAGAATGTACTTCGCATTTTGAGAATTTAGAAAAGGCCTAAATCTCTTACTCCATTTCCCTCTTCTACTCGAGTATCCTTTTTTCCTGACTTTTGATATCTAAGGATGGGGATGGTGTTACACTCAAAGCGAATTGCTATAGGGTCCTGAAAACCATGAACAGTCCATCAGGGGTTCATAATGGCACGATCCACTACAGAAACTGGATTCAGGTATGTCGAAAAAAAGAAAAAAAAAAAGTGTTGCATTCTAACTCTATGCTTTATCTTCAATCTGGTCTCTTCTTTTGTCCTTTTTTTTTTTAATTCCTTATAGAAAGTTATCCTGAATCAGTGCTTCTGGTTTTATTTCACCTTCTTGCTCTTTATACAGCATTGATAGATAAAAATTTGCATAATAAGATATGATGATAAGAAGGTCTCTTCGAAGCCTTTGATGTGTTTTCCAAGTGCAAAGATGTATTAAACTGGATTTATTTTTTTTTATCTTTATTTTTTTTAACACAAAAGTAGCACAAAATATTACCAAAATAAAGTCAAATTGAATATTTGCTTTGTCAAAGACTTGGACTGCATGTAATTTGATCTGAACTTTAAAATTACTAATTGGTTTCTATCTTAGTTTATTTCTAAAGCTCTGTAAGATGATATTCTATTTTTATTGCAACAACATAAATGAGTTGAACTCTGTGATTTAAAGTGAGATAATGGGTAATGAAGGCCAATGCTAAGTCTATATAGATTATATACATTTGCAGATTAACATCCATCCATTTCCCGTCATGCTTCTTTAATTATTTGATATCCATTGTTTCATAGGGTTCTTTTCTGTCTACCTTGTAAACAGCGTCCTCAGAGTTTTACCATTTCCATTCACACCATGTATGTGAGCAGGTAAGAGCGACTGTAGCTGGAGTGTTTCATTATCGGGCTCCTCAGGGGAGGAAACCTGCTGAGGCTTCTCACTCAGGACGCCCCTCTTTCTTTTCTTGGTGAAAAGAGAAACATTTCCATCGGAGGCCCCAGCGCAGACTTGCTGTGCTTTAATTGCATCAAAGTTAGAGAGCAGGCAGCAACAAACTGAGGAAAACAGGGCTCTGCAGGCCTAAAGCAGGGAAAGTAAAGCATGCCTGGGAGTGTCTAATGAAGACTGATTCACAGGACTTCATTGCTCAATAAACATTAACTACAGTAGGTGAGGAGGGGAGCTCAGCAGGAGGCAGGCTGTGCCAACTGATTGGATATCAGCGACACCGTCGGTAAATCTATCTCAGATTTCCCACATGGCTATGCATCTGTCTGTGCTCAGGTGTATTACTAAATGATAAATGAATCCAGCTCGGCGGAAATGCCTTTGCAGATGACTGAGGGTAGATGAAGAGGGTTTGATTGGATCAAAGGGTGATTTTCCGCCTCTTTGGGCTCACCGTAAAAAGAAATCCTTGTTTAAAATGGGTGATAAATGGCTATTGATTCGCAGGCAGAGTATGCTGAGTTTGCGAGTGTAAAGAAGTAAATCAAATGATTCCTCAGGCTGGATCAATGACGGTTCAGGGACACTAAGCTGCCGCTTGGTTAAGAGAGGCAACAAGCAATCTGGCAGTTCAGGAAACTGTTGCTCTCATCATAACAAGAAATGAGGAATAGAGAAAAAAGAGAAGGAGATGAAATACTTTAAAGGAAATAAGTAATGAAGAGCCAACTCACCCGGTTCGGGTCGTGCTCCAGAACTCTGCGTCTCGCAGCCTCCAGCTCCTCGTAACCTGGAGCGGCTCTGGCCTGCTGGTACTCCCTGCGCAATCCCTGGATCCGCTGATCGCTGCAGAGAGGAGGAGGAGGGAAAATGATTACATCTCTAGTGCGAACACAATTAGACAGACATAAGACGATTAATCAGGACTTTGTGAACGCTGAGACTGGGGTAAAATAGTGAAACAGAAAACGGGTCAAAGTTGACATCTAAAATGCATAAACTTTCATTAAATTTATTAGTTATGTTCTGCCAGACTGTGGATATTCTAAAGAAAATAGATCTAAGCCTGGGGAGAAATGCTTACGTCTGACAGTGGACATAGATCTATACATAGACGCTCAAATACCCAAGTTAAACAGGGCTAAGGGATAAAAAATAAATACATAAAACCTTAAAAGCAGAGGATGTACTAGTGTTGTGACAAGAATATGGACAAAACATAAAGAGAAACATCAACACCCTGCTCACTGGACCTCAATGCCTGATAAGCTCCACACACCTCAGCGTACATCTATAAACCAGGGTGGGGAGGCTCACGCTAAGCCGTCACACAAACGCCGCACAGCTGAGTGAGCACAATCCCACTCTTTGATCTGTTTACTAGTGGAAGAGGAAAGAAGGTGCACTAATATTTTGTCAGGAGTCCATCGTGTCCACCTAGTTCCTCCGTCATGCTTCCCTTTTCACTGTTCTTCAATGTCTGTTTGATCAGAAATCTTTGGATTTTTTTGCATTATTATTTTTTCTTGGTATAGAAAAACACATTTTTTGATTCAATCAACTGTTGTTGATGTTTACTTTCATGAACTGAATCAGAGCATCTTTTAATGATGTTTACTTTCTATTTTTATAGAAGGTAGGGGTAGAATGAGTAGAAAGGAGGAAGATGAGCGCCAGACATCTACAGGTTGCTCTAACCATGGGATAGCCTCTCTGCTGCTACACCTTCATCCTTCATTTCTACATTTCTTCTCTACTTTCAGATTGGTGCAGACTATCTTCACATGGCTGCTCATACTGAAGCTGCTCCTGGATGTTTCCTTTCTACTGTCAAGCTATGCACCTGGCTTCATCTCTAACAGTCTGACCGGCTGGTAGATATTGACCAAAAACGCAGAGAGGGGGAGGAAGAGAGAAGAGCAGAGAGAGAGCTTCATTAGTGAACTACATCGCTTACAAGCTTAAGTCTCTCTGGCGACCCGGCCTTTAATTAAGAAATCTTCCTGCGTGTGTTTCTGTGCGACTACAATCTCAAGGTTGTATGAAAGTGTGTATCCCTACAAGCGTTGCTTCTAGTTTGGTATGCAGGACGCCCAGCGAGGACGTGATTGCGGCTGTGAACACGTACGTCCACTTAATGCAGCCCGCCTTCCAGCCGTCTCACTGGGGACGGGCAGGCTGAGTCACTCAAACTTCTGAGCCGCTTTCTTTATATTCCAAGTGTTGCTCTCATGCTGCACAAAACTGTGAGCGTCAGTGAGGTGCAGCAGAGTCTCTGCTGGCACAGACTGGGCCCTGATACTCTGCCAGGAGGGGGGGCAACTCTCGAAAGTTTCTGTACTGCAGAGAAACGAAAGTGCACAGCTTTCTTCATTTTTTTTTCTTCTACATTTACCAACATCCCCCCCCGCCACCCAAACGATCCGATTAGCCAATCCCTGGGCTCGTAATTAGGTCTGCCATTTTGATTGAGCGCTTGTGTCGCTCTCCAAATGAAACAACACTGTAATTATCTCATTACGCCTCGGCCTCCATCACTGACAACGGCAAATATTATCATATTAATGGCTGAGGACAGAGGGATTCTGGATAAAACATTAGTGAAGAGGGATTTTGGAGGTGGCTGAGGTTTGAAGAGCAGCACTCTGATGGGCGATCCAGACCTGACGAGTGTCTTTAAACACATGCTTCTCTATGTTTTAGTATTAAGATTATATTTTAATCCTTTAACACCAAGTGTATCATGCTTGATAAATGGGTTTTTGAGACCTCCACATCATCAGTGGGATATTATGTGCTTAGAAATCCTGACTTATACTTATACAGACACGTGCAGTTATCAGAAAATCTGTAATCAATTGCACAGATTTGCCTCATGGATCACAAATGCTACAAATAACTTCTCATTTAACTTTCATTTAAAGATAATTTAAATGTATTATTTTTTTTTTTTCATTTTTCAAAATGTTTAAAAGCAACTTTACTTTCAGAAAATTCAAATTTTCTAAATATTTTTCATAATTTAGGCTTTAAAGAGTTAAGGGTTTGACAATTTTTTACATATTTTAGACAGTGAATTAGCAGCAGCTTAGCAGTAAAATGAAAATTTCCATTGCATATAGTGTAGCAGTGATCAAATGTAAACGGTGTAGGAGAAAAAAAAAAACATGTTGCAAAAAAAAAAAACACATTGATATGGAAGTTCAGAGTATTTCAAGACAAATATATATGGTGCAAATATGGAGCATTTTGTTTTTATCAGTGTGATGTAGAGTCTGTGAAATGATTTAGAGTTTTTTCAACAGTTAAGCAGTCTGATGGTGGGGAAGAAGCTGTTGCAGAACCTGCTGGCCTGCATTGAATGCTGCAGAGCCTCTTCCCAGAGGGCAGCAGGGAGAACAGTCCATGGTAGGGGGTGTGAGGGGTCGCTGATGATGTTACGGGCTCGGGACACGCAGGAGGAAAATGTCTTTTATGGAGGTTGATATTTAATGCCCTACCTTACAGTGGATTTGCAGCTAAATGCAAAAATGCAGCTACTCTGAAAATTTTAAATGACATTAAATGTTATTTTCTTTAAAAATGTCTTCAAATAAAGACAGCCACACTTTCAAAGTTAACTAGAAGGACTCTTTGTTAAAGGTTTAATGGAGGATTGTCGCAAATTTCTGAAAAGACCCTCCCTCTCCACTTAAGAAAAAAAATGCACATACACAACCATGTACCCGCTCCCAAGAGGGAACACCTATTAAACACGTGCGAGAGCGTGCACAGGCCCATTTCTCCTCGTGCACGCTCTGTTTAAAAGTTGCTGTTTGCATTTCTCATACAAGCTTACTTTCAAAAAGAAGATTTGCAATTTTCCACTATGTCAGACTCACCGCCGATAAATGAAAATGAGGACAAGCCTGCCTTCCATAAAAATATCACCAGAATGATTGACAATTAGGAGGACCACTTATTTTAAAGATCCACCCTGAAAAAGAACATCCTTAACTATACCTTTAAGTAGCCTGCTGGCTAACAGAGTTTTGTTTCCAAGTATTGAAATGTAAAGTTTAGTGGAAGGAAAACAGTTTTTATTAAGCCAAAAAACAGCAAGTAGAATCTTATTCCATAAGAGGTTGTGACACAAAGTCCATAAGAGAGTTAGAAGGAGATTCCCAAGCAGCTGACTGCAGCCATGACACAAAGTAATCATACTCTAGTTAAGCCATCACTGAAATGCACATATTGTCAGAAGCATCCAGTTGGCAAAGGAGAAAGAATGTTCCCTGTCAGACCACATCTGCATAATTTTGAATGTTTAGAGGTTTGGTATATCTACTTTTTTTATAAACTGAAATTGTACACTGCAAAAACAATCCAGAAATAAGTAAAAAATGGCTTAAATTAAGTATATTTAGCCTTAATTTGAGTAGATAAATAAGATGATTTGCCAATGGAATGAGTATTTTTACTCTTAAAATAAGATAGTTAGATAATATTTACTTGAAATAAGAGGATAAAATAGTTTTTTCTTATTTTAAAAGGAAATTTTCTTGTTCCATTGGCAAAGTGTCTTACTTACCTCCTCAAATCAAGGAAAAACACACTTATTTTAAGAAAAAATAACTTATTGAGATTTCTATTTTTTGCAGTGTATACATTATCTGTAGGCTACAATATTTCCATTGAAAATAAATGAAAGATTCAAATATTTATATGTGATTCACCTTTAAGTTTATGTAAATGTATTTATTGCTGTAATAAAAAAAGGTTTGAGGATCTATTAAGTCAGTAGGTGGAAAAAAATAGTGAAAGCTAAACCCCTCTGCTGCCATCACCCAATAATAGCTGCTGTTTTCCATCAATCTGCAAGCCAGAACATTAATGTATTTAAGTTGTAGGGAAATCATATTTAAATATCAAATCATTCTGGCTTTAACATGTATATAAATGTACCCTTTATCAGACGAAATTTAGAAAATTTCCATAAAAAAAAAAATTCTGTCTTAAAATCTTTTTTTTTTTCGTTATCTCATGTAGGCCAGTTAGTTATACGTCAGCCTGAACACCTAAATTCGGCCAATCCTATATCAACGGTCATCTGTCAATCAAGTTTTTTCGGTCATAGCATCTTCATTCATATGTCACAGCTAATATACTCAACGGTTGAAATAAGAAATAAGAATTATTTCCTTTCCCATTGAGTTCCGTCCCAGTGTTCACGGCGATGGACGTCTGTTTCTTCTACAGGCGTAGAGCTAACAGAACTGGCAGCGTTGCGAGGCAAGGGCTCAAACATGTACGGCTATAAGCCTTCTACACCAAGCCAAGCTTCTGCTGCCCTGGCGTCCTCTTCAGCAACAACTTTGTCCCCACTTTTCTCCTCTAAATAAAAAAAGCATGACGGAGGGGATTCATCCACGACCTCAGACACAAAACTTTCCTTCTCTTGCATGTTTCCGCTGTCCATAGCGTTCCTTGACAGTGTCGTTGATAAGTGCTACTTGGTCCCAATGTAATTTCCCATTGGGAACCTACTAGCACTCAGTTGCTAACTTGTTAGCAAGATGCTTCCGACAAACAGGCCACAATCAAACTTGCTTGCGAAGCTTCCGCCACAACAATCCCGCTCTCTTGATAATCGACCAGTTACATTAATTTTATTCACTCATGTATAGTTGGGCACCACTCGGGAGAATTCGGAACTGCAACGGCTGGAACGGCAGTTTCCCTACGACTTTAAAGCTGTCTGTGCTGAATAGATACAGTTGTGGGGTTTCTTTTTCACAAATGTTATTAGAACAGTAAAATAAAAAAACTTTAGAAAGTGATGTTACCTGGCAAAATACTAATCATTA